AATGGAAAACTTCTCTCATTCCAGTTAACATAGCATCGAAACTACCATTTAACTCCATTATCTAATTTCCATTATCTAATATTGGTCTTCACTCAAATCTCCAAAAATCCTAACCTAGCCACCATCATTCCTATTGTCGCCGACCATGGTGATCGTCGTCATCACCTCTTAGCTGCTGCCCAGGCCATCAACTCCTCCATTCATAGCAAAAATCACCACATTCCTCTCTCTTCATGGACAAAACCTTGACTCTCTGATCAACCTCTAATAATTGCGGTATTATTCAACACATGTGAAATCTATTAGCACGTGTGTCCTTTTCACACAAATCATTCCATTTCGTTTCATCTAGTTTAGCACATGACAAGAAAGGTCTCTACAGCTTTCCACCGCTTGATCTGCAACTCACAAGTACCAAAAATTATACTACTTGACCTCTTACTATGCAAAATAAGCTTTGGGCTTTGGCATTATGGGGTTACATTGATGGATCGTTTCGTTATCCTTCTGCGACCATTACGAGGTATACTCCCTCATCTTCCGCATCATCCGCATCCGAGGCTATTTTCAGTGACTCGTCTACTGATTCTACTGTCACATATAGTAAGTAGATTAGTACTGATCAACAGATTATGGCTTATATTATGCGATCAATAGCTATTCTTATTCAGCTATCTCTTGGGCGTACATCTTCATCTCATTAGCAGTGGTTAGCTCTAAGTCACATGTTTGTTCAAACGGACGCTGCTCGTGATTTACAACTTCATCAGGTACTTCAGGATGCTCATCAAGATGATCGATCTGTTTAGGATTTCTATTCCTTATTATCAGTCTACTGGGAAGAATTGCAAATAATCAGGTACTTTAGGATGCTATTTCATTTCAGAAACAATGTGATCGTCAGAAATTATACCACTTTGTCCTGCGCCTTCGTTCCAAGTTTGAAAGCTTGCGTGGACATATTCTTCATTGCAATTCTCTCCTCAGCCTTCGTGAGGCAGTTGCTGAATTTATTTCAGCAGAGACACGCCTTAAGATGCTCTCCCCTCTAGCTTCTACAGCTCAATCTTCACCACACACAGTTTTAGCTACTCCTTAGTACTCTTCCTTCCATCGGAATTTTAACAGCACTTCTGATTCCTCACAGCAACTTTATTGCCGCTATTGCAAAAAGCCAGATCACCTTATTGATAAATGTTATAAGAGACCATCTCGTTCGGCATTCGAGAAGACTAAGCCCCAAATTGATACATCAACTGACATAAATCCTACTCCTCAAGAGACGTAGATGACCGACTCTTTGTCTTTTGACCAAATCTTAGAGATTACTGCATTAATAGCCAATAACCTTTGGCTTAACAGTGCTTCCTCCATGTCTGACTTTGCTGCGTTGTTTGCTCATTCTGGTACTCTTCCTCTTTGGATATTTGACTCGGGTGCATCTCATCATATGAATCTCGATAACTCGGTTCTTACAAACTGTTCACCCACTCTTAATTCATTATGCATTTATACTGCTAATGATACTCCTCCTGCAGTTACTCAGTCGGGTGATATTATACCAAGTTCTGATACTTCTGGCCCTTTAACATTATCATCTGTTTTTTCATATTCCAAAACTATTTATGCAACTTTAATCTATTAATTGGTAAAATAGTAGATTCTAGTTGCAGTATCTCATTTGATTCTCAGTCTTTTGTTGTCTGGGATCACACCGGCCAGAAGATTGGGACAGGTAATAGAGTCAACAGACTTTATCAGTTGGAGTCTTTAAATCTTTCTTCTCCTTCCAAAATCGGCCATGGACTCTCTTCTTCTGACCTATGGCACCGTCGCTTGGGTCATATTTCTTGCTCCCGCTTAAATCTTTTGTCTGAATCTGGTGTTTTAGGAAACTTAAAATTTTATTCTTTATGGAATTGTATTGGATGTCAGTTAGCTAAACAAATAGCCTTACCATTCTCATCTAGTAATAATATTGCTTTAGCCCTATTTGATTTAATCCATTCTGATATATGAGGACTTGCCCCGTTGATATCTTTATCTGGTTATTGGTACTATGTTAGTTTTATTGATGACTACTCTCGCTACACTTGCGTATATCTCATGCCTGATTTTTCTGATATTTTAGATATTTATAAAGATTTTACAAACATGATTTATATCCAGTTCCATAAACGTATAAAGATGTTTTATTTTGATCGTGCCTATGAGTATAACTCTTCAACAATGCAGTCTATTTTGAAATCACAAGGTACACTCTCTCAACAATCTTGCCCACACACTCATGAACAAAATGATATTGCTGAAAGAAAACATCGTCACATCCTTGACACTACCAGAGCCCTCCTAATATTAGCATCAATACCTCTATTTCTCTAGAGAGAAGCACTTCTCACTATTGTCTATCTTATCAATATCACTTCATCTTTTGTATTAGCTGACACCTCTCCACATTTTTGACCTTTTAAGTCTCAGTTTTGCTATTCTCTTGTTCGTATATTTGGATGTGTCTATTTTTTTCCTGCTTTTAACTCATGAGCGAGATAAACTCTCTCCACATACTGCAGGATGTATCTTTTTTGTCTATAGCACAGTTCACAAAGGGTATCGTTAGTATTGATTGTCATGTGACCTTCTTCGAGAATACTTCCTATTATACTACTTCAGATTTAGATCTCTCCTTTCTTCAACCTCCTTCAATACCTTCCACTACTATACCTGTACTATTGGCTCATGTACCTTCGTCTGCTCAGCCTACTCTCTCCTTCACTCCAAATGACATCTCACAATAATTCTCTTGGTTCATCCACACCTTCTGGACATACACCTATTACATCACTTTCATCATGAGATATTCCTACTAATATCTCCTCTATATCTGTGCTAACTTCTCTAGATGTGACTCCTCCTCCTCACTGCAATCCTCCACGAGATCATCGTCCCCTTGTTCGGTATGCGCAGTGTGCCATTAACAATTATTCTCCTGTTTTTGTCTCTTTTCCTGCTGCTATTCACTTTATACATGATCCTAACTCATATTCTAAGGCAGTTAGGTATCCAGAATGAGAACGAGCAATGAATGAAGAGTTGGAGGCTTTCTATCAGACTAATACTTGGATCTTGTTCCTTTACCCTTCGGTGTTAAACAAGTAAGTTGTAAATGGATTTATAAGGTCAAGACTCGATCTGACTATTCTATTGAGTTGTACGAAGTTCATCTTGTTGCTCGAGGATTCTCATAGGAGTATGTTATTGACTATAAGGAGAATTTTGCTCTTGTTGTAAAAATAACATTCATTCTCACTCTTATTGTTGTTGTAGCTGCAAAACATTGGCTTTTGTATCAACTAAATGTTAAAAAATACTTTTCTTAATGGTGATCTATCTGAGACGGCTTATATGCAGCCGCCTCCTAGCTTCCCAGCTCCTCCGAGACATGCCTGTCGCCTTCGTCGTGCTATATATGGTCTCAAACAGGCTCTACGAGCCTGGTTTGAGCATTTTCGATAGTTTCTTCTTTCTATTGGTCTCATTAAAAGCCTAGCTGACTATGCTCAATTCTATCGGTCATCAGCCTCAGCTCCGGTACGATCATTCTATTACTTTATGTTGATGACATGATAATTACTGGGAGTGTTTCCTCTGTCGTTGCTTCCTTAAAGCAGCACATTTTAAGTCAGTTTGAGATGAAGAATCTTGGATATCTTCGTTACTTTTTGGGTATTGAGGTTGCCGCCTCCACTCGTGGCTATCTTCTCTCTGAACAGAAGTACACTGCAGATATTCTTAAGTGTGCTACTCTCAATGATCCTTCTATTCCTATCAATCCTCTCTCCACTCCAATGGAGATGAACTTGAAGTTGCGATATGACGATGGTGATCCCTTATCTTAGCCTACTCGATATCAGAAACTTGTCGGAGTATTGGTTTATCTTTTTGCAACATGTTCGGATATTGCCTATGCCGTACACATCTTGAGCTAGTTTGTAAGTACTCTGACTTCCACTCGCTATGCAGCTCTAATTCGAGTTCTTTGATATCTCTGTGGCGCTACATCCTGATCATTATTTTTCCATCCGACTCTTCTTTGTCTCTTCCTGCACATTCTGATACTGGATGGGCTGATGACCCGAACACTCGACCTTCCACTACTGGATTTTGTATTTATCTAGGATCATCTCTCATCTCTTGGTGCAGTGAGCGTCAAGTTGTCTCTCATTCCAGTACAGAGTCAGAGTACAGGGCAATGACAGACACCACAGTTGAGCTAAAATGGCTATGTACTCTTTTGCGAGATCTTATTGTCTCTATTTCTTCTCCTATCACTCTATACTGTGATATTCAGAGTGTCGTCTCTATTTCCACAAATCCGGTGTTTCATGAGCGCACCAGCGCACCCAACATATTAAGGTAGATCGTCATGTGGTTCGACAAGAGCATGTTGCTGGTAACATTATTCTCTCACATGTTGCTTCTAAGAATCAAGCCGCAAATTTGTTTACCAAAGTTCAAATAATTTCTCAATTTCATTCATTCTTATCCAAACTCTCGGTTTTTGATCCACCGTAAGTTTGCTGGGGGCTGTTAAAGTCATACCTACAGTTCCCACCGGCCTACCGGCCTATGCTACAGTACCACCGGCCTAAACTACAGCGTCACCTATATACAGCTACAGTACCACCAGCCTACGCTATATTACCTACCGACAGTACAGTGTCCACCTACCACAACTACAGTACTCGTCGGCGCTACCATGTTCACCTACCACACCTCATATTATATTGTATAGTGTATATATATAGATGTAACTTATCGAAATAATAACTCAACGGAAAAAACTCTTTC